TTCGCGCTTTTGGCCAGTAATGAAGACGCTTTCGGGCGGCTGGGCCACTTCATACCGCATGCGCGTTCAGCCCGTCCTTCGTGGTTGTGTTCTCGGCTGCAATCCAAAGTTTCACCCCGACACATTCAGCCACTACCTGGTCTGCAAGCGCTTGTGGGACCATGCTGCGCTGCCTCGCGGACAACTTCACAGATGTGTTCTCGCCAGGCTTGGCCTACACGACATCAATTTCGACCCGCATGGGGCCGACGACGACAAGATCGACCACGTGCTCATCCGTCTGGCAGTGGTCTACAGGTTTTACCATACGATCAAGATCGATGGCAATGTCGACAACTCGTACAGCACCCACAAGAACTACATGCTGGCCTCTCGCCTCTCCCTGAGGCTCGGCCCGAGCGCGCACGGCGGTGCGCGCCCATTATAGATAGACGCGCCTCTCCCAGGGGTTCGTTCGCTCCTCCTCCTCCCTTTTCTCCTGCTCATCCGCCACCTCCTTCGATTCAATGTACACAGCTCCCCTTTTCCGATTGCGCATAACACGATGAGGTCTTTTTTGGCGTACCAGGTCAGCTAAGACACTCGTCGGTGGATAGAGAAAGTTCAGAGCAATGGGAAGGGATGGGATGGATGGGTAGAATGTCAGACATGGCGCGAGCGCAAGAAGTGAATCCGTTTCCATCTCTCCTGATTCCTCCTTCCTCCCACGCTCCCTGCTCGCCCCATCGTCCCCCCGACCCTCCCCACCACTCCTACCCATTTCCCTGTCTTTTCCCCCTCCTACTCCCCTTTCCCTCCCCTCTGGTGGTCTCCAGTGCTCAGGTGCTCTTCTGGGTACGGGTTTTCCACGATTTCAAAATCTGGGGAGCCCATCCATCACGCAGGCCCAGGATGAGGATACATCCGTAAGGGCTTCGCCCCCTGCCGCCGGCCCCCTCTGTCGGAAAATGGGGCATGCAAGAGCTATGTTGTGAGACCTGTGCGCCGTCGTGAAGCAGCGTGGGAACTCCGAAGGGGCCACTGGAGATATGAGCGTGCCCAAATTCAGCAAAAACCTAAGGATCATCGCAGATGTTGGCCTCTTGGGTCCCTCTTGGGGATGCTCTTGGGGCTCTCTTGGGGGCCTCTTGGGAGCCTCTTGGGCCGTGTTGGGACCATCTTGGGCGCCTTGGAACACTCTTGGGCAGTCTCGGAGCGCTGGGAAATCGGTTTCGGTTTCGGGTTCGCGTCGTGCGCGCAGGCGAGGCGAAGCTGCGTGGGCGGGCGAGAGGAATGAACCCTCCTCTGGCTAGGGCGCGGCGACGACAGAAGTCCGCACCCCCTGGCCTCGTGGCGGGCGGGTGCCGGGGGTGTCCCGCCGTGGTGTCCCGATGGTGTCCCGTGGTGTCCCGCGGTGTCCCGCCGTGGTGTCCCGCGGTGTCCCGTGTTCCGTCATGGTGTCCCGTGGTGTCCGGGTGATGTGTCCATGGTGTCCCGTGGTGTCCCGTGGTGTTCCGCCGTGGTGTCCCGATGGTGTCCCGTGGTGTCCTGTGGAAGCCGGAAGCCCGTGGCCGCGGTGTCCCGTGGTGTCCCGTGAGATCGATCGTGATATCGATCGTGAGATCCATAGTGTAATCGATAGTCAGATTGATCGTGAGATCGAGCGATCTATCGATCATGAGATCGATACTGACATCTATAGTGATATTGGTAGTGAGATCGATCGTGCGATCGATAGTGATACCGATAGCGGGATCGATCGTGAGATCGACAGTGAGATCGATTGTGCGATCGGTCGTGATATCGATAGTGAGATCGATAGCGAGATCGATAGTGAGATCGTTAGTGAGATCTATCGTGTAATTGATAGTGAGTTCGACAGTAAGATCGATGGTGCGATCGGCGGTGAGATGATTCTGAGTCGTTCAGTTCGATCGTGTGATCAATAGTGATATCGATCGTGGGAGGGATAGTGGGATCTATCCTGATATCGATCTTGAGATCGATTGTGCGATCGACAGTGATATCGATTGTGTGACCGATAGCGAGATCGATTCCATAGTGATATCAATTACCCCAAGGTTTGTCGTATTATGTATAGAGTATCATAAAGTTCAAGGACATCACGGGCATCATTCGCAACACTTATCCCAAGTCATTCCAGCAATCCGCCCAAGCACGCGAGCCTGTAAGTCAAATCGTTCTGGCAATCTGCCCAAGCACGGGAGCCGACAAGTTAAGCGAGTCAAGCTGTTTCGGCAACCCGCCGAAGCGCGAGCCGACAAGTCAAGGATTTGGCTTGACCTGGAAAATGGCAGTCTTGCCTGATGGATAGTCGAAATGTCAGATTTCAGCGCAAACATGCTTACCAGACTCTTCTTGTTCTGTCGGGCGGGCGTGCTTGGACGCATTTGGGGATGACGCGATCGGCCTGTGTGTTGCCTCCTTGTCGACGTCCCCAGGGCGCGTGTGGGGGCCTTGATGGCTGGGCCCAAGACGGCTCTGTGTGTCGAATTCGCTGCCCCTGTGGTGTGCCCTCGCGCTTTCTGCGCGGCTAGGCAGACAGTGCACGATAGTTGGTGCGGAGTTTTGGCTGTCTCGGGACTTCGGACGGGCTGGTGGGCTCGAGATAGACATTGGGCCGCAGGCTGGCGAATCGTGTTCAATATGCGGAGCCCTCATTTAGACACCGAGTCCTTTTGTGGGTGCAGGCACCAGTCATCACCAGGGGTAATGATATGGCGGGTAATGTATGCTCGGCTAGGAGTCGAGCAAGCCATGGCTGAAATAGAGTGCGTGCAGAGTTCATGGCGTGGCTAGTCCAGAGGGGACTGGCGATAGTGAATGCAGCGGTTGCCCAGTGCGAGCATGAGGGGAAGAGTTTCCCGCGCCAGGTCGGTCCGTGCAGGGGTGGCGTGAGCGTCGGGAGGTGTGTGGCCACTGCCCGAATGGCCTTTTTCCTCCCTCCCCCCCTCCTGCCCCTCATCCTCCTCCTGGCAGGCCCTGTTGCTCAAGCTCGCTAGGCATCGTGTCTGCGGTGGCTGCAGCGGGGGGGGGGGTCTTTGTCGTGGGCGAGGGCAATGGGGCGGGTCGCCGCGTTGGCTGCCCGAGGAGAAGCAGAACTGAGGGGGGGCGGCAGTTGCGCGGAGGGCCCGCGAGAGCGCGGATGCAGCCAGCCGCCGTCTTCAGGCTCAGCTGGAGCAGCTGGAGGCACAGCCTCGGGCACTCCGGTGGGCGTCACCGAGGAGCTGCACTCGAGGCTGGTGCTCATCGCCCTGGTGCTGCAGGCCCAGATGGAGGATGTCGGAGTGCCCATCGTGGTGCGCGTGCGGCGCAGTGCAGCTGCCCACGCTTTTGACGTGCCAGCGGCGTCCATTGCGAGTGCATCGCAGCGCGAGCTCAACGCCATGCAGCGGGGTCGCTCCCGTGCGCCTTCCGTCTGGGCGCGGAGGGGGCATGCGCCAGGTGCGTGGCAACCGCTGGACACCGTCCACGCGGTCGACGAGCCGTCCGGAGCATCGTCCTCGCGCGCCGACGCCGCCGACTTCGCGCCCTGCTGCTGGGGGCCTCTCCCACAAGGCGCGGGGGGAGTGCCGCGCGCGCGCGGGGCCACGTGGTTATCTTCGGCGGCTAGCGTCCTTCAGCCAGCCGTGCAGGAGTTGAGCGGTTCCGAGGCCTGCGGCGAGGGTGGTTTCCTTCTGGTGGTCGTGGGCGGCTCTTCGGAGGTCGCCATGGGCGCGGTGCTGACGGCGCAGGCGGGCGCGTTCCTCGGCGCCTTCGGCAGGGTCTGGGGGCCGCAGGGGCCGCAGCCTGGTGTCGAGGATGCTGCTGCTCGGGGAGCCATGGGTTCCTCGGGCGCGGGTTGCTCCGCGCAGGCCGACGTGAATGCAGGTGTGCCCAGCAGTCTCTGGACACCGGCGGGACTGCCATTTGCCCCTGGGGAGGGCCTTCTATTTCGCTGGTGCCTCGACAGTGACAGCGTGGTAGCGTCTTCCGATGATGCCCTCGATTAAGTGTGTAGTGATGTTCCCCATCCAGAGTTGGAGCAGCTCTTCTCGTCCTGCAACTTTTTTCTCCTCGATCGGGGGGCTTCTTAGTGCTGAGCGGGGCGGTGCTTCCTGGTGTTGCATGTGGCTCCCGTTCGTGGGCATGTACGAGCTGATCTTGTTCTGGCTGTTGGGTTGGGCCCTCGTATGTCATTTGTTCCGGGGAATCAGCCACTTCTTTATTTCCCTTGATGCGGCGTCAGCGTGCTTCATCCGCTTCACTTTCAGTTCATTCGTGTTCTTCTGGCGGTCGACGCGTCGCTCGTGGAGGTCGCGGCGGGATGCCAGCATGGAGGTGGAACACCCTGGCAAAAACAACATCTTACGTGTTAAAAGAGAAGCCCTGAATATGTAACTTGTCGCCACCAGGTGACCCTGACCAGTGGTGCGCACATGCTAGCAGTATATACGCGTGACGGGTGGTGTCGCACATGATTAGTTTTCACGACCTCCGCTCCTCTGTGTCCCTCGCGGTCGTCACCTTTTCCTGGTGCCGGTCCAACTTCAAGACGAGGGCTCTCGCAAGGTTCCATGCGTGGCAGAGTATCGAGGGCGCGAGAGGATGCAAGGTCGATCGTTCCCTCTGGTCTCACGATGTCGTTGAGCCTCCGCTTGAACGCCTCACCTGCCCTACATATAGTAGTTTTGCGGCTCAGATCAGACAGTGTTTTTACGGCCGCGTCCGTGGGCACTTGCCAGCGCCTGAGAAAATTTACCTCGGGCCCTGCGCACATCTATTACGACCGCAGTTCGCGTGGAGCGGCCCCCGAAGTCGAGCGAGGCTGGCCAGCCGAATAACAATAATCATATGGGTTCGGATGGGCCCCAAAGCAGTGGCGAGCCAGGCAGTCTGAAGGAATCTGTGTGTTAGCCTCGCAATAGCTCGCGCTGAGCCGGGATTTTTCGATAAGAGGAATCGTCGCGCTCTTCTTCCATGCCTGGCTCATCGTCAATACCAGGGCAACAGTGGCGGCGATGATCGAGGCGTGCCAGACGTGCAACAAAGAGATGCAGCGCCAGACGAAGGCTCACAAGCCTGGCGCTCTTTTCCTTCGCATCTTGCTGTCGATGCTTCAGCGATCTTGGAGGCAGCTCAAGAACTCGGGTTCGAAGCTCACCATGTACGTGCGAGCCAGGATGCTGGCTCAGGGTGCGCGAAGGGGCACTCACGAACGAGATTATTGGGCCGTGCAAGGCCATGGTGACAGCACAGGCAGGAGTGAGGCGGCAGGCGAAGCGGTCCTCGAGTACTCGATCGAGAGCCACTGCGCGACCCCCAGGAACAGCGAAGAGGACCCGCAGAGGCCGCCGCCCCGTGGCGAGGGCCTCCCGCCGCACCTCGAGCTGCGGGCGGTCTTGGGGGCGGCGCTCGCCAAGTAGGGGGGGGGCCACCAGGTTGGGCCCGCGCCCAGAGCGGAACTCGCGTGAGCTGTGCGGCAGCACGCTGGGGAGGTGGGCCGACGAGAAGCAGTGAGGGGCGGTGTAGGGGGGCGAGGGATGTTGCCGAGCAGGGGAGGAGGGTAGTTGTCCAGGCCCCGTTCTCTACCTTCTCCTTCTCTTCCTCCTCCACCCACAGAGCCAGCAGCTCAGAAAACTTCGGCGGGCGCTTCCCGGAACATTCTGAGCACAAACATTCGAGCCAGTAGATCTTGACGTGTATTCCAGAGTACAGGCCTTAGCGAATTCGGGGTCGATTCGAGCTGTTGGCGTGCGACTCCCACCCCCACGTGCTCCTCGATCAGGGTAGCGGGGTGTGACTTTGAGTCGATAAACCTGCTCACATGGGCAGGCCTGCTCTGTGAGCAGCCGCGCTCTGGACTGGCCGCGCTAGACGCGAGTCGCAAGCTTCGATTTTTTTGCACAGGGCCCGGAGTGTGATCCATTGTTTGCTAACAGGCTCAAAAGGTAGATCTAGATCCTCTTCCCTTCTCCTCTTCCCTCCTCCTCCTCCTCCTCCTGGGATGCGGCGCCCCGCTCGGCGCGCCCGGGCTCGCCCTCGCCTTTGCTTCCAGGTGCGGCCGCGCGGCCGCGGCGCGCCCCGGCGCAGGCGGGCGGCGCCCGCGGCCGACGCCCGGCCCCTCCTGGGTGGCGGGGCCCTCGGGTACGACGACGTGCGACGGGCGACGGGCGACCCGAGGAGGAGGATGAGGAGGAGGAGGAGGAGGAGGAGGAGGAGGAGGAGGACGAGGAGGAGGAGGAGGAGGAGGAGGAGGAGGAGGAGGGAGGCGTAGGTATCGGCGACACTGCGTAAGGTCCTCTTCGGACCCCCTCGCGCCAGAAAGGGGTACCCCTGCGGCAGAAGGCCCTAAACAACTTGACAACATTACGATAGGGGGCCACGATTCGGGGTCACGATGGGGGGCCACGATGGGGGGCCCACGATGGAGGGAATCGGAATTTTGATAAGGATATGGATATCGGGCTAGGGATGTAGGGCCAGGAATATAAGAGTAGGGGTGAGGATCGGGATGGGGGGATATGGATAGGGATAGGGATAGGGATAGAGGCAGGGATAAAGGATGTAGGGATAGGGATAGGGAGCGGTAGGGATAGAGATAGAGGGATAGGGATAGGGAAGGGGATGGGGATAGGGATAGGGATAGGGATACGGATGGGGATAGGGATAGTGCTAGGGACGGAGGCAACGGGAGGCAGCGGGAGGGAGGCCACGGAAGGCCACTGGAGACAACGGGTCGTCGGGCCGATCCCAGATCAGGCACCGCAGCTATGCTTCTTAGAGCATACACACATATATATATATATGTGTATATATATACACACATAGTGAGACTTCACACCCGTGCAGACAAGCTGCCCAGGAGATTACCACGGAGGGCTTCTCCCTACCTTCGGCTTTCGGGGGCCCTCGGGGCCGTCAAAAAGGGCTCGCAATGAAGAGCCAGTTCCCGGGAGGAGGTCCAGCTCTCCCCGGGAGTCTACGTTGCGTTATTCGGGCGCGGCTAGGACGAGGAGACATCCGTTCCGCACCGTTCCGGAACGCTCTGAGAAGGCCGCGACGCCCGATGCATCGTCCAGAGCCGCCAGATCTCAGAGATTCTCGATTGACCCCCACCCGATTTTGACCCCACCCGGTCTCATTTTCGTCGTGACGAGGTCTAGACCTCCCCAGGAGTCTATGTCATGAAACAACCCATCACGACGCGCGGGGTCTGGGCACGGCGGGCGACGACGGGCGACGACGACGACGACGATGACGGTACGGCGGCCCAGGACGGGTGACGGGCTGCGGCGCGGGGCGGCGACGACGCTGTCCGCGCCCGTGGCGGGCCCCTGCGGGCTCGGTCCGCCTTCCCGCCCGACCCCCGTCCTCCCTCCCTCCCTCCCCTCCTTCCTTCCTCCGTCCTCCTCCTCGTCCTGCTGCTGCTGCTCCTCCTCCTTTTTTTCCCAACCATCCTGTGGTGTTGGGTCCTCGTTTTGAAGAGACAGCGCCCCGCGTATCCTCTTCTTCCTCCTCCCCGTCCCCCTCCTCCCTCCTCTCACCATCATCTGCGAGGGTGCGTTGAGGCGCGCGAGACCGAGCGTTGCCGCCGCAGGGCCAGAGGGAAACGCTTCGGTCCGAGGGGCAGTACGAGCTAGGAGCTCCTGACCTCTTTAGATGCGTGGATCATCATCATCATCATCATCATCATCATCATCATCATCATCATCATCATCATCATCATCATCATCCTCATCCTCATCTTCATCCTCATCCTCATCATCATCATCAACATCATCATCATCGTCATCGTCATCGCCATCGTCATTATCACCATCATCGTCATAATCCTCACGACTGCCATCGTCACCATCATCGTCATCATCATCGCCGTCACCATCACCATCACCCCTCACGTTTCGTCGCCCCATGGGGAGCTCCACCGGAGGTTCCAGTGCCACCGTCCACATGCGTCCCCCGCACCAATTTCGGCACATCCCTCACACGTTTCGTGGCCCCATAGCGAGTTCCACCAAAGGCCCCAGTGTCACCGTCCACATGCGTCCCCCTACCCACTTCGGCGCACCCCTCACACGTTTCGTGGCCCCATAGGGAGCTCCACCGAAGGCTCCAGTGCCACCGTCCGCATGCGTCCCCCCCCACCCACTTCGGCACACCCTTCGCACGTTTCGTGGCCCCATAGCAAGCTCCACCGCAGGCTTCATTGCCTCTGCCCACATGCGTCCCCCCATCCACTTCGGCACACCCCTCACACGTTTCGTGGCCCCATAGGGAATTCAACCGAAGGCCCCAGTGCCAACGTCCACATGCGCCCCCCCCACCCACTTCGGCACACCCCTCAAAAGTTTCGTGGCCCCATAGCGAGCTCCACCGAAGGCCCCGGTGCCACCGTCCACGTGCGTGTCCCCCAAAAAAATCGGCACACCTCTCACACGTTACTTGGCCCCATAGAGAGCCCCGCCGAAGTTCCCAGTGCCACTGTCCACATGCGTCCCCCCTACCCACTTCGGCACACCCCTCACGCTTCGTGGCCCCAGAGCAAGCTCCACCGACGGCCCCAGTGCCCCCGTCCGCATGCGTCCCCCCGTCCACTTCGGCACACCCCTCACATGTTTCGTGGCCCCATGGGGAGTTCCACCGAAGGCCCCAGTGCCACCGTCCGCATGCGTCCCCCCCGCCCACTTCTGCACACCCCTCACAAGTTTCGTGGCCCCATATCAGGCTCCACCGAAGGCCCCAGCGCCACCGTCCACATGCGTCCCCCCGCCCACTTCGGCACGCATCTCACACGTTTCGTGGCCCCATAGCGAGCTCCACCGAAGACCCCAGTGCCACCGTCCGCATGCGTCCCCCCCCCGACCCACTTCGGCACACCCCTCACGCTTCGTGGCCCCACAGGGAGCTCCACCGAAGGCCCCAGTGCCACCTTCCGCATGCGCCCTCCGCACCCATGTCGGCTTCAGTGCGTCATCCACACACACACACACTTCGGCACACCCCGCGGCCGGCTCCACCGAAGGCCCCAGTGGCGCCGCCCGCGGTTGAGAGAAGGATCATGATGATGATGATGATGATGATGATGATGATGATGATGATGATGATGATGTTGATGATGATGATGATGGTGCTGATGATGATGATGATGATGATGATGATGGTGGTGGTGGTGATGATGATGATGATGATGATGACGATGACGATGATGATGATGATGATGATGATTATGATGATGGTGATGATGATGATGATGATGATGATGATGATGATGATGATGATGGTGATGATGATGATGATGATGATGATGATGATGATGATGTTTTTTTTCCTCGACGTCAGGGCTAAAGTAGAAGATATCGTGATATCGTCTGAAATAACAAATGCAGCCCGTCGCAGAGAGCAGTCTGCTCTCGGTAGACCCACGCGGGGGCGAGCGCGGAGGGGTGCTGCTACAGGGAGCAGAGGAGAGCCCAACGCGCTGTATAACAGGATCGTCAGAGGCGGAGGAGTGCAGAGAGGGCGCCAGAGCCAAGGACTAAGTGCCTATTACAGCATGCCATCAACTGGACTAGGTCAGGCTCGCAAAGAAATGCAAGAGGCCTATTTTTCCCAGCGCCTTCAGTGGAGGTCTGGCCCCGCTGTTGAGAGACTCCAGTTCCATTGATACGATGTCCATCAGGTGCCTGGCGGTTACCGCGAGGATCGTCGATGTCGCGGATGCGCTCGATTGCCAAATCATTGACAGCCATCAGCGCGCCGACCTGATCCCAGAATGGGTGAGAAACAGTGGCGTCGTACGCGCGCTCGACGGCCAAGCATACGATCTCCTCGCTGGTGCCTATGTGGCGGGTCATCTCGGTAGCGATGGCTTGGTCAATGGCGTCGTGAATGACAACAGGGATGAACTCGTCGCTGGAGTCAGGCATAGTCGAGGTGTGGTAGCGCATCAGCTCCTCATCTATGTCATCTGGGCCCTCGTGCGTGTAGCCCATTCGCTCCTCCGCGGTATCGGTGCGATTGGTCGTATCCTCGTGCACGCCAAGCTTGAGGCGCTGGCCGTACTGCTCGTAGAAATGCTCCTAGTTGTCCTGCTGCGCGGCAATCTCCGTGAGCATGCCCAGGCACTGCACGACGAGGTTCTTTCGGATCGCACGCATGATCCTGTTCTGCTGCGGGGTCTGGCAATGGATGTTCCGCAGCATAATGTCGGAGTCCACTACGCCCTTCACAAAGTGGAGCCACTCAGGCAGAATCGTGTGCACCTCCGTGAAGAGCACATGGCGATCGTGCGGCTTGATGTTGTTGCGCTGCTTCGTGGACTCCTTCGGGTCGAAAGAGGCTCGCCAGGGCACGAAGAGCACAGCGTGGAACTCTATCGGGCTCTCAATGCTGAAGTGCTTCACGGCCAAGGGATTCTCCCAGT